AAAAAAAAAAAAAAAAAAAAAAATGCTGAATTGGACTTGAACTTGCAATCTTCCAGCCTTAGCCTCCCAGAGTGCTGGCACTACAGACATGCATCACCTCGCCCAGCTTTTCTACTTCTTGAAGGCAGAGCCTCCAGCAATGGGATTAATGCCCCTATGAAAGGACTCAGAAAGCGCCCTGTCCTTTCCACCTTGTGAGAGTGCAGCTAGGAGGTGACATCTACAAGCCAGATGCAAAATCTGCTTTTGCTTTGATCCTGGACTTCTGAGCCTCCAGAAGTGTGGGAAATACAGTTCTATCATTTATAAACCACTCCATTATCTTAGGAAAAATTCATAGCAGCAAGGTTTCCTGGGCAAAAGACAAGCATTAATATGACAGGTAGGGGACTTATCTTTCTGTTGTTCCCTGAAAGGGTTGTGCTGCTTTTATAACTGTCAAAAACCAGCTGATAAGGCTGGGAATTTAGCTCAGTGGTTCTGCCACCTGCCTTGCAAGCGCAAGGACCCGAGTTTGATCCCCGGTACCAAAACAAAAACAAAAACAAAAAACCAGCTGATAAATATTGCTTGAACAGTTTTCCAATGCTTAACCAGCTATAAAGTGCCACCTCATTCTTTAGCTCCTATTTCTTTTGTCACCACCAGGAACACTTTTTAAGGTTTGTATCTAACTGGAATGCCTGATACTTTGCTCCGTGTTCTGGGAGATTTCTTTTCCAATCCTTCTATCAAAATGTTCATTTTGGAGAGAATCTTCATTTGCAAGAGCACATTTATTCTCTGAACTCTTTTTTTTAAAGGTATAATTTACAATATGCAGCATACTGTTTTTTGTGTGTACAAACATCTATAGCAACTTTATTCATCACAACCTAAAACTGAAAACTCTAACACCTAGATAAGCAGAAAAACTAGTTACGATACATCCACGTGATGGAATACTACTCAGCAATGAAAAGGAACAAAGCACAAGAACCTGAAGCAATGTGTTGAATACTGAAACATGCTGAGTGTGACCAAGCCAAACACATAAGTGTACATACTCTTGCCTGGGTCTACTTATCTGAAAATCTAGAAGAGACGATATGTGATAAAAAGTCAGTGGCTACAGGATAAGGGTGGGAATGTGGATTGACTGTCGGAGGCATTAAGGGTTTGGGGGTGGGAAACTTCTATACCTTCACTGTGGTCATATATACATAAGTGTGTTCCCAGAAAGCTCGAGCAGATCCAGGCAGCTTAGTTGTTACACAGTCTGCAAAAGCAAAACTGGCACAGCTTCTAGAGACCTTAGATCCACAGGACAACACAGAGCTGGTGGGAGAGGGTGGCAAGAGGAGAGGCAGTAGGTCTCTGATGAGCTGCGGTCTTGCAGGTTGCATCCAGGCAAGGCAGGGGCCAGGTGGGAGGGATTCGAAATGGCCAGGCACAGCCGCTCACAAGATAGGAGGCTCTCCCCTAGGTTTATGGTATCCTTCTGTGTTGCAGAAGGATTCACAATACATTCTGCCAAGGCTGGGGGCGCACAGTGGTCCAGCCCCACCTACAGAGGTTCAAGCCGTACAAGGACCTCAGAGAGCTGTTTGCTGCAGTACCACCCCACCTTTGATTTATCCAGCCAAGAATTATTTTCAAGTATTTTCAGGATCTTAGCCCTCCCTACCAGACAGCTAATGAATTGCACAGATGAGAGTTCAGGTCAAATCCCTTCTATTTCTCAGGAGCAGTACCGTAGATGATAGTGACAGCAGCTCGGTCCGGCAATGGGCAGACCCACGTGAAGGGCACTCTGCAGCCCAGGCTCCCCATCTGGAGCCAGGCCAGCTGAGCATCAGATGTCTCCGGAATTCTCCTTAGTGCCACATCACCTTTGCTCCAAGTTGAAAGCGAGACGGCTCCACCTTCCGTTTTTATTAAGCCAGATGCAGCAAGAGTGTTGGCAGCCACCTAGGTGTCTCCCGGCTGGCCAGCAGGAGCCCAGCACAGTCCATTGCCTTTCACGCCTCGCGGCTTACTCTGGTTTGTGGCCAGCAGGGCAGAAAGAGAAGTGCCAGGTTAGACTGTCCAACATCCAGCCCTCCTTTGCCAACAGAGGTTCCAGTGGCCTTAATTCCTTGAGGTAGGAATGAAGGGAAATAGGAAGAGCGAGGAATCCTTGAAAAGTCCTTCTCAAAGCTGGATGTGGTGGTGCATACCAGTATGTATGGGCTAGCAGGAATTACAGAGCAAGAAGACCCTGCCTCAAAAACCAAAAAAAGTCCGTTCTATGATTTGTTGACGCTGCCACCTGTCGGTGACACAGAGCATGACATGTCTCAAGTAGTTTCCACGGCTGAGCACTCTTGGTTACTAAGGCAGACAAGCGCCTTCTGATTTGGCGCAGCTGGAGGATCCAGCAGGCACCCAAGTCCACCTCAAACCCTAAGTAGCACAGCCTCAGTCTTCTGCGCCTCTGGGAATTACTTCCCTGTATCCGGAAAAATAACAGTCAACACCCAGAGTATCCTCAGGAGGAAAGTGGGAAACCCAGCTGGACTACGAGCCAGGATCAGTGCCCAGACCACATGCCCTGGAGTTCTCTCAGCCCCTCGGCTGTGTGGCTGGGATCCTGGCACAGGTGCAGGGCTTCCTTGGTATTAGTGGGCTTGGTTCGGGCCATGGCCCTGGATAGTCCACCATGTTCTTGAAACTGTAACTGTGTCTTTTACAGTTCTGACCAGGTGGCTGGTTCCGCTGATGTTTGTGGTCAGAGGGTGTCATCCGCGTTTTCCAGGGGGATCCCCATTGGACACGGGTACCCCTCGATCTAGTGCCTATTGCTACTCCGGCAGGACTTGGGACTTGATTATCCAGTTGTCCTGCTGCCAGGCATCAGGCTGCCAGCCCCTTGGCTGTTGCTCATGAGGCAGTGAAAATGTGGTGGTGCTCATGATGGGAGGTGAAATCCAGGCCAAGCACCACGGCGCACATCTCTGCCCCTGGGGAGAGATCACTCTCCCACGCAAAATTACAATCTGTTCTTGCTGTGGCCACACAGTGCAGCATTGAGCATTTACCAGTGGTCATGAACTCAGCTGACCTTGAACCAGGTCCATATTCTCAGGGGCCTCAGCATACTGAGGGCCTCAAAAAACCCAAGATGCTGGCATAGGCACTGCCTGTGAGCTAGCCATGTGCGTGGATACCACTTTATTCCTTTCTTGGAATTTCCCTGAGGATAAATGCTTGATGGGCCAAGCTCACATCCCTGGGGTTTCCCTTCTGGCCCCATCTCACAGTGAAGATATCAGGGTACAAACACATCCTAGTCTCTCAGTGATCGCCAGCTCCCAATACCAAGGCAGAATTTAAGCCAGGTAAGCGGGCACATGTCTGTAATCCCAGCACTTGGGAGGTGAGGCAAAAGATCTCAAATTTGAGGCCGTCTTGAGCTACATAGGGAGTTTGGGGCCAGCTTCAGCCTACAGAGCAAGATCTTACTTCAAAAAAAGAAAAAAGGCAGCAATTGCCAATCCAGTGGGGTGTGTGCCTCAGAGGTGTCAAGCAAGCACTTCATGTCCCCAAACCCACAGGTGTCTGCCTGAGGACCCATCCTGTGGTTCCCTTCTGTGTAGCTGTCACTCACTGACATATTTCATTTTAAAGTCTCTCTAGAATGACTTGGTCTGAGGGAGAAGTTTATTATTTTTCTTTTTTGGAGTAGGGATCAAACCCAGGGAGCTCTGCACTGACCTATAGTATCAGCCCTGTTTATTCTTTTAGTACGAGACAAGATCTCACCAAGTTGCCCTGTCGGGACTCGAACTTTCAGTCATCCAGCATCAGTCTCCCAGAGTACTGGAATTTCAGGTGTGTGCCGCTTTGAGAGGTAGT